GTTTCCAGAAATGCAAGCTGGATTCTGAAGAGGACATAGAACAAGGAATATCATTGCTGATGTCTGATGGATCTTGGCTGAAATCAAAGAGTACCAGAAAGATGTTTGTGTTTTATTGACTTTGCAAAAGCATTTGATTGTGTGGATCATAAAAAATTATGGATAACATTGAGAAGAATGGGAATTCCAGAACGCTTAACTATACTCATGAGACAGTGGTAGCCATGCACCATCTAGTTCTGGTCTCATGTTTGTATAGGCTGAAGATCACATGGTCTACTAGTCGCCTGGACTAATTGTTTCCACGCGTCTCTGGTTTTCTTTATTATTCTTTGCTCAGGGCCTTTCATCTGATAGGGTGTTGTCTGAAGTAGGAGGGCTCAGGGTCTCATGTCTGATAGGGCATTGTCTTTGGTAGGTTCATGACTGATAGGGTATTGCCTATCAGTCAGCCCATTGTTGCATCTAGATGGCCACTTGCAAGCTTTAAAGACCCCAGTCGCTACTTACCAAAGTAGGATGTAGAACAATGTTTTTGTGTAGTATGTTATGCCACTTGAGTTTGATGTCCCTGTGACCATGTTCCCGAGCACAATCCAACTACTTGCTCCCTCTGGGTAGCTGGCTGCATGCCCACACATTTTTATGGCTTAAAATTGTCTGGCATTCCTTTGTCACAATCACACGTAGCCTCATATCATTCCTGCTGAACGTCATTTATTCTGCTGTCTAGAGAACAAATCTCCTACAATGGACAATGATTTTCAATTAAGCATCTGAACTGCAATGCAAAACATAGAGCTCAAGACTTGAGATTGGTACCCATGGCCCCAAAGTAACTGGAGAGAAGCTGGAAGCACAAAGGATGGTATTGTCCCAGGTCCTGATTTCCTTCAAAGACTCAGGGATGTGGGAAGATGTCTTCAGGGTCCCAGTTCTGATACTGTTTTCTGTTAAAACAAAAATCATGCTAGCCAATACTAGAAACAGATTGAAGTTTCTTTCATACTCAATTTACAAATTGTGGTTAGATTTGTATTCCAGAAAAACCAAACTCGGTGCCATCGAATCGATTCCAACTCATAGCAACCCCCGTTGGGTTTCCAAGGTTGTAAATATTTACGGTAGTAGATTGCCCCATCTTCCTTCCGCAGAATAGCTGGTGGGTTTGAATCACTGACCTTCTGGTTCCCAGCCAAGTGCTTTATCCACTATGACACAAAAGCTCCTTATATTTCTATTAGAGAGTCAGAAATATTCTGAAGACGATTCAAACTCAAAACACGGTTATACCAAATCTTATCGGCATCACCATAGAATAAAAGTTAGAACAGAACTGATAATCAAATCTGTGGTCAGGAAGGGTTTTTGTACAACATTGTCCTGGTGAACAATCAAAATAATTACTGATTTACCCTAAAACATAGCTCCCAGTCTTACGTTTGGAATCTGTTTCCTGAAATTGATTGCATGTTGATAATTTTCCTGATTGTGGTTTTGCGAAGTGGCCTGGAGAGGGCAGCAGCGCTCCTATCTCCTGGATGTTGGGAATGGGGAGCTAGTCTACCAGGGCTGCTGTTTATGTCCTGTAGGGGGGGAATATTCCCATTTAAAGGCAAATATTTCCTGGTTCTTTTCTAATCTGATATAAAAGCATCCTTCAAATTCAGGACTGGAAACCAAGCAAAGACAAGAGACGAGGTGGAGAGTACAGTGTGTGGGTTATGAACCCCTGGCTGCACTTTAACTGTTAACTAGTTGATTGCCTGCAGGTCCTGGACAGGTCAGTACTCCCTGTTCTTTTTAACCAGTAAAATGGGGATGTTCAACTGTACTTGGTAGGGTCAGTTCAATCCTTGTTAGAGAACTGTGTCAGTGATGTTGTTAGTGCTATTTGGGCATCAAGCCTGATAGGGTCGGAGGTGGTAGGGCTCAGGGCCTCACGTCTGATAGGATATTGTCTGAAGTGGGAGGGCTCAGGGTTTCATGTCTGATAGGACATTGTCATAGGTGGGTTCATGACTGATAGGCTATTGCCTCAGGTGAGAGGGCTCAGGGCCTCCCATCTGATAGGGCATCGTCTGAGGTGGGAGGGCTCAGGGCCTCCCATCTGATAGGGCATCGTCTGAGGTGGGAGGGCT